AAATCCTGGGATGACGGGCACTCACTGCATCTCAGAGTGTGGCAGTAGGCTTGCAGGTGCAGGTTGAATGGTGGGATTCAGTCTGAGTTGGATGGTGGGATCCAGCCATGGATCTCAAAACATAGCAGCAAAGTGGTTCCTGTGGGTAAGCAGTGCAGGGAGGAGGAGTCTTCTCACACTGTCCTATCGCATCTGCACTTGACCTTTGTTCATTTCTTTCCGAACCCTTGATGGAGATTTAACAGCTGCCAGGAGTTGTCCTCAGGAACATCAGTCTGAGGAGGCTTCATGCTGCCATCACAGTATTTTTCTCTTCCTGTTGTTCAAAGTCCCTGTGTCCCTCTCTGTCCCCCTCCCCGGTGCAGGTGAAATTGGTCTCTGGTCTCTGGTGGTCCTGGCTATCGAAAGATACGTAGTGGTCTGCAAGCCCATGAGCAACTTCCGCTTCGGGGAGAACCACGCCATCATGGGTGTAGCCTTCTCCTGGATCATGGCCTTGGCATGCGCGGCTCCCCCGCTCTTCGGCTGGTCCAGGTAGGGGGGGCACCAGGCCCAGTGCAGGGGGCGTGGGAGCCTGGCTGGCAGCTTGGTTGTGTCTTCCAGTCTATCTCCTCTGCTGGGCACTGACCTGCTGGGCTCACCTTGCAGGTACATCCCCGAGGGCATGCAGTGCTCATGTGGGATCGACTATTACACTCTGAAGCCAGAGGTCAACAATGAATCTTTCGTCATCTACATGTTTGTGGTTCACTTCATGATCCCTCTTGCAATCATTTTCTTCTGCTACGGGAACCTGGTTTGCACTGTCAAGGAGGTGGGTATCTGCCAGTGACAGTGGGCCGAGGGTCATCTCCATCCCCAGTGCTGGGAAAGGGCCCACACCAGGTTCCAGACTGGTGATGGGGTGGGCCTTCCAGGGGCCAAGCTGGCCCTCCATGAAGAGGGAAAGAGCAAATTCCAGATGCGCAGCTTGACTTCCATGAGCCCTCACCCCACATCCCTGCCGGCGCAGCACTCTCTGGCTCCATCAAATTTCCATTTCCTTCTGCCCACAGGCTGCTGCCCAGCAGCAGGAGTCTGCCACCACCCAGAAGGCAGAAAAAGAAGTAACCCGCATGGTCATCATCATGGTCATTTCCTTCCTGATCTGCTGGGTCCCCTATGCCAGTGTCGCGTTCTACATCTTCACCAACCAGGGGTCAGACTTTGGGCCCATCTTCATGACCATCCCAGCATTCTTCGCCAAGAGTTCCTCCATCTACAACCCTGTCATCTACATCGTAATGAACAAACAGGTAAGTGGCAGGGGGTGAGACAACTCCTTTTTTGTGTTTCAGTTTATAACACCTGGCAGAGAGTTACGGCATCTCAAGCTGCCAGTGGGCTGGAGGGGGGGTTGTTTCCAGGTGATCTCATCCTGGTACATGGGAGGGTGACTGTGCAGCTCAGCCTTGGCATTGCGTAAATCTCACGAATGCAAGGCCATCCAGCCTGAAATGATGCAGGTGCTGCGTTGATGGAGGAGCCGGGGCTTCAGCAGGCAGGGCTGGCAGCAGCCAGTGGGGCAGGAGACTCCATTGGTGTGGTGCCTCCTGTGCTGTGGTGCTGGGGGCTTCCAAGCAGCTCTGCTGAACTTGGAGACAGCCCTGTAGGCAGAGCTGCCTGGTGTCTGCCTACCTCACACTGGGCTTCCCTCTCTCCCAGTTCCGTAACTGCATGATCACAACCCTCTGCTGTGGCAAGAACCCTCTGGGAGATGAGGACACATCTGCTGGCAAGACAGACACCTCCTCCGTCTCCACCAGCCAGGTCTCTCCTGCATAGGCCCCACCTGGGCCAGTCCCTGGGGTGCACGAACTTAGTCCCACCGCTGTCACCACCTGCCCCTGCTTCTCCACGGCCAAGGCCCTGTGGGGCGGGCTCCTCTCTCCTGGCACTAGGAACCCTGGGAACAAGGCTGAAAATGTGTACACACGTTTTGTAATTAAAATGCAAAGATTTAGTTCCTCTGGCGTATATCTGTGAGTTTCTGTTGACTTGCTGAGAGTTCGTGCCTCAGCTCTGAGTGCAGACCCTGGGTCGGACAGCCCTGCCATGCCTGGGCCGTGGCAGAGCTGCCCTCGCCTCTCTCTCCCCACCTTGACACCCGGCCAGGGCACGTCCTGCCTCTGCTGCTGCCGGGGCCGCAGCTGGGGCCATCTCCCATCTCTGCTGCCGGAGATGAATCCTAGCCAGTGTCACACAGCCGCTCGGTCCTGCCATGCTCCAGCTGCCCGGAGCAGGTTTGGCGGCGTTGAGGTGCCCCCAGCCCTGCCAGGTGCTACCAAATTCAGCCCTGCCCCACCTCCAGCCTGTCAGAAGCCCACGGAGGCGCTGCATCCCCTCCGGGGGACAGCACAGATACCGGTGCACATGGGCCCTTCTGTGCTGCAGCGGTGAAGGTCGTGGATCCTGCCCAGCAGGCAGGAGCTCGGAGGGCCCTGCCAGAACAGCACAGCACGGCACAGCACGGCACAGCATGGCACAGCACGGCACGGCACAGCATGGCATGGCTCCGTGCTCGCTCCTGCAGCATGGGCACAGCAGCACGTGGACAGAGCTTGCACCCTCAGCAGCAGCCGTGCTCCCCGTCCCCCACACTCTTTCCCACAGTCCCATCCGTCATCCTTAGGCATCTTTGGACCCCCTGGGCCAAGCCCCCAGCACACTCCCCCACACCCCTCCCCATTTCAGCTGCAGCCAGTTTGGCCTCGGCCCAAGAGGAGGTTTTGGGCAGCTCCTGTGCTGTTGAGGCTCGCCGGGTGCAGGGCTGAGCTCCTCCCGCGCCGCAGCAGGCAGGACCCAGCAGCATATGGCTCAGTGACGCCAACATATGTTCGAAGCACTACAAGATGGCATATTGCAATTGTAGCACTGTTCTTCATTTTTATTTTTAGCTCAGTTACACAAATAAGATGTTTTTCTTGCTGTTCAGTGTTATCAACATTTGAAACTATTTTTGTACATTATTATCCTCTCTGATTTCTAATCCTATGCAGCTTTGCAAGGACTAATAGGGAACGTATAGTGCCCATGCAAGTTAAACCCTTAATAAAGAGCAATTTGCAAGTACAATTCTCTCATTATTTTTTTTTTATCCATACTTCTGCATATTCAGTGAAATCTAAGGATTAGAGTTTTATGAATAATTCAGTGTTTAGGCTGATGTCTGATTCATGTACTTCGAATCTGGGAGGTGGTTTTGGAGGGAAGAGAAGGAAGGATTTGGTGTTTATTTGCTGTCCATGAGGCTGTGCTCCAGAGGAGTGTGGCAATGCCTGGCACCACAGCTCGTCTGCCTGTGCAGGACCAGCCCCAGCACACAGCCTGGCCCCGAGCCTGCGGGCTGTCACTCCTCACCATGCCCAGCCCTACGGCTACTGCTGGTGGTGCTGGTGGCAAGCAAGGGTTTGGGACCCCCCTGCCAGCTCAGCTGGGTACCAGAGGCATTGCAGAGCTGCCAGAGATGTGATGGATGGATCCAGGTGGAGGATGGTGCCAGGCCCTGCCTCCTTCCAGTGTCCCCACTGTCCGCTTCCTGGGGAATTTGGAAATGGACTGGAAACGGAGCAGGGAGCAGGCTGGTGCTGCTGGTCTGGGGGGAACTGGGCATGTCATGCTCCAGGCATTCAATCTCTCTCCCAGCTGCCAGACCTGCTTCCTGCTGCCACCTCAGCCAAGATCTGGCTCCCAGGCTCAAGTGGTGGGCATAGACCTTGATGAAGGTCTCTGTGGGCAGTAGTTTGCAGGTCCATTGCCATGGTGACAGGTCTGCTGAGGTGGCCAGGAGCCAATCCTGCCACATTGTAATCTTGGCTCCCAGCTTCTTCACCTTTCAGACAGACAATGCACACGGAAGCCCCGTGAGTCTCCTGTGTACAGAGGGAGGGATTGATGGGGCACTGGGGAGGAACACAGCAGTCGCCCAGGTGGGGTCATTTGTGCTGTTCCTCCACCAAAGAACCTTCAGTGATTTACTCAGGCTCACCTTGTGAGCGTAGGTGGCAGCAGAGAGGGGACGTGGAGGGGACATGGCTGTCTGTGTCCGGGGCTGGGAGTGCTCTCCCCCGAGCATGGTGGGATTCAGTGGGCAGGGATGAATGGTCGTCCTGCTCATGAACATGATCATGGAGATGGTGGGGGGGAGTCACTTTGCTGATTAACCAAGCAGCTCTTTATTTTCCTCCTCTCCTTTGTGGGATTGTTTTTTCCCCTCCTTATCAGACCCCTGCTTCTCAGTGAAGCAAAGGGAGATAGCACATCCCACCAGCACACTGGGAACAGGTCTGTGTGGGCCGCACGCTGCAAGCTGGCTCCCCGTGCACCCCACAGCAAATACTATCAGCAAGCTGCCATCTCAGCACCCCAACATCCACCCAGTGCTCTGCCTGTTCAGGGCAATCATCCCACACACTCCCAGTCTCTCATCCCTCTCCAAACTATCTGCTCAGGTCTGCCCTGAGCCCCTCCAGCCCCACACAAAACTCTGGCAAAGGGCACTTGAATTCCCAGCCCCCAGCTCCCACCTGGGGCGGAGACCAGAGCAATTAGCAGCTGCCAACCAGCTGCCATCCAGGCTGGTTATCGGATAAATTGCAGGGAGGTGAGCTGGGCCTAAGGAGCAGGGTTGGTGGTGCTGTGGGTGGAGTTGGAGCTGCCTGTGCCCGGGGCTGTGGGCTCCTGTGTTCTGCTATGGAGCCTCAAATGGGTAAGGGGTCTGCAAGCGCTGCAGGGTCCTGCAGAGCTGGGTCTCTGGTGAGTCTCAGCTGGGACTCTAGGGCTCACTTTGGGTTCTGGTGGGGCTGGGTCTCTGGGGCTTGGTTTGAGCTCTAGTGGCCACAGTCCCTGTGAGGCTGTAGGGATGAGTAGAGTTATGGCTGCTCAGCTTCTGGGGGCTTTGCAGCCCTTGGAGGTGTGAGTGTCTTGGGGCTGGACCCCAGTCTCAAATGGTGCCTCTTCCAACCTGACTCCCAGGTCTGCTGGTCCTGGGCGGTGTGGCCCAGCGCCCTTCAACCCTGCAGATGGTCAAAGAGGCGCTGCAGGCCCAAGATGAGAAGAAGGGTGCCTCTGTCTTCACCATCAAGCAATTCATCCTGGCCAAGTACCCCACCGAGGATCCTATCCGGCTCAAGTACCTGCTGAAGCAGGCGCTGAGCAAGGGGCTGAGCTGTGGGGAGCTGGTGCGGCCCCACAACTCCTCTGCTGTGGGGGCCACCAGCACCTTCATGGTGAGCAGGGGGCTGCCAGGGCGGCTGGGGGCTGAGGTGCTGCCTGGGCCCACTGACACCCTGCTTTCATCCCCAGTTAGCACCCAAGGAGCCACAGCACAGGCAGCATCTGGGCCAGGCAAATCCTGACAGAGGAGAGGCCCCGAAGCCAGGACAGGAAGGGACCACCAAGGACCCCTGTGCCCCTGTGGCTGGTGCACAACAACGAGGTAAAGGGCTTCTGGGGCATGAGCCACCCCGTGCTGCCTGGCCCCACCAGGACTCATCCACTACCCCGTCTGCATGTACCATGAAGCAGCAGCTAACAGCCATGAAGCAGAAGCCAAAAGCAAAGCCCATGGGTGTGAGTAGGTGATGGCAGTGGGGCTGGGTGGCTCATGGCATGGCAGCACCCTGAGGTGCTCTCTTCCCTCTCCTCCAGGCCCAGCCACGAGCTGCAGTGAAGCCTGGGAGCGATGGAGCAAAGCCCCCGAGAGCTGCCAACCATCCCCAGGCCCCTGGCACGGGGTGTTCAGGGCCCCCGAGAGCTGCCCACTGCTCCCAGGCCCCTGGCACAGGGTGTTCAAGGCCCCCACGAGCTGCTGACCACCCCCAGACACTTGGCAAAGGGTGCTCAAGGCCCTGTGGGGCTGAGGCTGCAGGAAGGAGCAAAAGTGACAGTTCTGTGGGTGCTGGGACAAAGGGGCCCCAAAAGGTCCCTGGGGGAAAGAGCAAGGGGAAGGTGCTCAAGGGGGCACAGCAGGATCCCCCCAAAGCACAGAGGGGTCAAGGCCAGGCGAGGAAGCCCTGGGTGACCCCAGGAGCCAGGCAGGGGGAAGCCAGACTGCAGAAGGCAGCGTCCCCTGGAGAGGACAGAACGGCTCTGTTGGGGGGCCCAGACAGTCTCGCTTAGCCCTGCTTCAGCTGGCCCCAGGCCCTTGGGGTCTGGGTTGCTTTTAGTCCCCAGGACAGGTTTTAACTCTGTGTTTACCCTCTCCTAATAAAGCTTCTTTACTCACCTCATAGTATGGCCTGACTGCTGCCCTGGTTGTGGGCCCCTGCCCCTGGGCTCTCATTTCCCAGCCCTGGCTTCATGCTGCATGGCATGGTACTGAGTCGATACTGCAGGCAGCTGCCTCTCTGCCTGCCCTCATGGAGAGGTGCCCTGTCTGTCCCCGTGTCCCCAGCTGTGGTGCCAGGGGTATGCTGGGCTTGGGGGGCTCTGTGTGTGTGCAGGCTGGCAGTGATGGCCTGGGCAGGGGCCCTGGGACCCATGGGACACAGCATGGTGCCACCCCCCAGAATGGAGAAGCTCAGGCTTGGCTAGTCCTGCTGGTGTGGACTGTGAGGTGTCGAGCCCTCTGCCCTCTTGGCTGCCCTTGTGCTGATGCCTGGCTGAGCTGGGATTATGAGAGTGCCGGGGTGGGAGGTCTGGGTGCATGCCATGGTCTCGAGCACTGGGGGGAGCTGCGTGTGCTCTAACTATAGTAAGAGAAAGATAGAGGTGTTTTAGGGCTCAAAAAATGAGTTTGGAGTGCTTCCTGTAGCCCCCAGCATAGTTTGTGCTCTTGTTATCTGTCTGTGGCACAGTTCCCATATCCAAACCTGTCTTGTGAGCTCCTATGGGTCAGTGTGTGACACTTTCATTTAATAACTTCAAATGCCTCAATTTCTCTTGCTCTGCCCAGAGCAGAGCCCTTCTGAAGGTCAGGCTGATCGTGTAAAGGGTTACAGTCCTCCTGGGTGGGAGAAAATAAGTGGAAGTAAAACTCTTCCTAAAGAGGATTTCACTAATCTGCAGCTGGCCTTGCCAATGCCCTCCAAGGCTCCTGGCCTTGCTCTGGGGCTTAAGCAAGAGCTGAGCAAACTAACTTCTCTTTAAACTTCAGCCTTTACTATGTTGATCCATCTTTAAGGGAGCTGGAACTCGTGTCCCTCAAGGGACAGGGTGGGGAATATGACAGCAGTAACTGAGCTGAGTTCACTGGATCCTCTGACAGTGGTGGCCTCACAGAGCCCCGCTCGCCCATGTGGCAATGTCCCAACAGGGCAAGGAAGGGGCTGTGTCCTCTCTCCTCACCATCTGCAGTGTGAAACGTGCAGCTCTCTTGCTTTGAGAGAGGCCAAGTCATTTAATGGCTGGATTTAGCTTTACTAAGAATCAACTTCCTAGCAGGAGAAAAAAATCCCTCCAGTGTCTGGAAAGTGCAGCTTTTACTGGAGGAGATGGAAGAGCATGGATTTAGCAATGCCATGGTTATTAAGGCCCTTGGGCCAAGCTGGTGTCAGGGTGCTGAAGCTGCAGCCTGGTCTGACAGTGCAGGGAGGTGCTGGCTCCCCAGGACTGGGGGGAGGCACTGTCCTGTGGACTGGGCAACTGGCAGAGGTGAGGGTGCCCGGCCCCAACTGCTGCTGTGGGGCTGCTGGTCTTCACGTGTGCAGCACAGTGTCAGTCAGTTCGGGTGCCAGTCGTCTGCTCCCGTGCCTGCTCCAGCGGGAGCCGTGGCACCGGCTGTGGGAGTGCTGTGTGGCCACAACGAGCTCTGCAGCTCAGAGAAGTACAAACCTGTCTCCTGCAGAAACAAGGGGGTTCTCACTGAGCTGCTGACCCTGCACATGGTGTGCCTTGTACATGCAAGGCTCGTCTGTGCAGGTGTCTTTCATGTGTGTACTCTGCACGCACAGGGGCAGGAACTGCACTCCACAGGTTCAGCACCTTGTTTTATTACAAAGATAGGCTTTGCCAGGAGTTTGCCACTTCCACTACACAGCAGGTAAGGGCACTACATCCACAACACGTGCCGAAGTTGAAAAACATGTTACAAAGGGCTTGGGGGTTCAAGGCAATACAACACTACAAACCCTCGAGCTTTTGCTCTGTTAAAGTTGTTCCTTTACATGGCTGTAGCAAATACTTTTTTTTTTCTTTCATAAAAATTAAATAATAAAGCAATAGCCTCAATACACAGCCCAGTCACAGCACCTGGAGGCAAACCCTACTTGCTCTTGACTCACTTGTTTCCTTTCCCTGTAACAAACAACATGGGACTACAGCTCCATGGCCCTTTCCCTGCCTCCAACCAAACTCAACATTCTCTGCTACCTTGTTCTTTCTTGCCCTTGCCTTCCCTGTGCTGGGCCTGCCTAAATCTCTGTCAGCTATTCACAGTCTCTAACAGAAAAAAAAATTCAAGATTTTGTGAAATCACTTTCAAAATAAAATGTAGCCCAGCTACATTCTTAAGAGTTTATATTCTGAAGCCACATCCTCAGCAAAGACATTGAGACCTCTGCAGTGTAAGTACTTTTTCTGTAGTTCTCTTTAAAAAAACCCCTCTGTTCTTCCCCTTTCCCTTCCCTCCCTTCCCCCCTTTTAACATACTGGATAAAGTCTATCATTTGTTTTAAAATAGATATCTATGTACACATACACAACTCTGATGTTGCGGCTTCTGACAAATGTGGCATTACTGGAAACAATGGAATGGAGGCCACCTGTCCATGGCAGAGAGTCACCCAGGAGTACTTCTGGTGAACAGTTATCTAATACCAGGTTGCATCATTGTCAGTTGAATGACTAACAAAGGCTCCCCTTACACCCTCCTGCTGTGAGGTAGTAACTTTTTTCTTTGTTTCTTTCCTATTTGGCAGTTTGAACCATGGCATCTGCGGAGGGTCAGCCCTGTGGGCAGGAGCCTTTTCCCATGCAGGAATGCTGGCTTCGAGCACATGGCCTTGGCTGTATCCAGCCTCTTCAGAGGGGCCTGTGTGACACTGGAGACCAGAGCGATCACAGCTCCCCGGGCTGCAGGAAAGAGAAGGGGCCACCAAGCTGGGATGGGGTGTTGCCCCAGTGCAAATACCACAGGGTGGCACTGCGGTTTCTGGTCTTGGATGAGGTCCATTGGTCTGCCAGTGGGACCTTCTCACTGACCCTGGCCTAAGCCTGAACACTCTCTACTTTAGTCTGCAGCTCGGGATGCCGGAGCTGCTCTGGTGGCCTGTGTCAGTGCTGGGCTGCCAGGGGATGGGTCCAGTCCCTCTGCCTTTAAGGTCTGAAAACAGGCTGGTAACGCAGCCAAGCCCCCCTCTCTTGGCTGCTCTCAGGTATCAGCCACGGGGGCTGGGCCTGAAGCAAGCAGAACAAGCTGCTTTAGGAGACACCTCTGCAGCACTGACCTTGTGTTTGGTGATGGCCACGGGGAGAGGCAAGGAAAGAGACGATGCTACCTGGTGTTTGCCCTGTGTGTGGCTCGAGGCCACTGTCAGAGGGCTGTCAGCAGGAGCTGGCCCTGTTGGTATGAAAGGCATTACTGGGGCCAAGGCGGGGCAGTGCCGCAGACACGTGCTGAGCCAGTGCAGCGAGGCTGGGAGCAAGGGCCACGGTCCTACCCTCACCCTCTGTCTGCTTCTGGTCTAGACAGGACCGTGCCTGCAACGAGCTGGTTGGGCAGTGGGATGTTTGCCTACCCACTGCACCTCCAGCTTGCTGTGCATGAGAGACAAGAACCCAGGGAAGGGGGAACAGCCCTTCCCACACTGTCTTACATGGATTGCACTCCCTCTGGCACCCAAACAGCTGTCTCTGTTAGGGATAAAGTGCTTTCACCATGCCTTAGCTGCTTGGGAAGTAATTGCTTTGTCTCAGCCCCAAGTTCCTCATGTTGCCCAAGTCTCATATGGAGGGGCAGTTATGTTTACACATACAGTACAAAAATTAAAAGGCACAAAAATACACAGAATGCAGCAGATAGTGAACAGCTGATAAGAGTCCCTGGTGTTCAAAAAACAAGGATGTTGGAGGGATGGAGTGGAAGGGAACTCAGGTGTTGCTCTGATGGCCTATGCTGTCTCTGCTCATTACTCCCTGAGGTGACCCTTCTGCTTTGTGTCTGTTGTTCCAGCCTCTGCAGCCCCATCCCTTGTCCTGAGGAGCCACACGCAGGGATGCAGGGAGTGCTGACTGCTCGAGTGCTGACCAGAGGGAAGTGGTGAACTGGGCTTGCCCCAGGTGTCACACCTCCATTTCTGGCTGGCAACAGCAAATAAATTATGGGTGCCACAGTGGATACCAGAGGAGTTTGAGCTGCTCTGAAAGGTGTCTTGTGGCCTCTTGTGATGTGAGGGAGTCCTTTGGCCATGGCCAGGCCCACCCCCACCACAAGGCTGGTTTGAGGATGACCACGGTGTGCTTGCGGCTGAAGGCAGATTCCCTGTGGCACTGTGCTGCGGGAAAGGTCACTTCCAGGGCTGCAGCTGGCCTAGGCTTCACTGCAGCACTCGTAGATGTTGTCCTCCATGAGCGCAATCACTTGCTCGAATTTGTGCTGGAGCTGGGTGCGCTTTGTTGTGGGGTTGGCATCCAGGGCAGCCACGATCTGTGGGTGACATGGGCAGGTGGGTGGATAAGGCAGCCTAGGAGTGCCCACCTGCCAGCCCAGTTCCCGCTGTCAGCCCTGTGGAGCCCAAATCCCAGCCATAGCTGGAAAGCCCACCCTGCCCTACAGCCCCTGCACAGCTGCTGTCCTTGGGCACAGCCGGGTCCTTGGCCAGGGCTGGGAGAGGAGGAGAATGTGGCAGAAATGCTCTGCAATAATGGAGCTGAGGGTGCAGCACCAGCCTGCGGGGTGCAGGGGGGCAGGAGCCAGCCAGAGCCACTGCCTTGGTGGGGGTGGTGGGTGCATGTTATTTTGGGGGTGGGTGGACTGTATCTGCATGTTCTGCCCTCTTGAAAGCACCTACACATCAGGCAGCTCTGCTTCAGTGCGGCCCAGTCAAACACCGTTAAGATCAGCTGGGAATAGCTGGCCTTTTCTTCCAAGAAGTTGCCAGCCAAGGGACACAGAGCAGGTGCATCTGCATGTGCATCTACTACATATGTGCTGGGACTATGCAAACCCTGATAATCCCTGTTCTGTGGGACTGCATGCAAGTGTCTGATTATGGAGTTACCATAGCAGGCATGCTGGGGCCCGAGTGCCCTGAAACCCACTCACCTGGGAGCGGTATCTCTTGGCATATTTGTATATCTCAGCCATGGCAACATTGGTGTTGAACTCATTCCGGTATTTCTTTATAAAGACAGAAAAAAAGAGAGGATAATATTAACAGGATGCAGCATCTGAGTTTCAGCCCAGCCAGCCGGCACCAACTACATTAAAAGCAGGTTTTGCCTGGGTAATTTTATTTCTGTTGTGTTGGTGCAGCCAGATTCTTGCCTTTTTCCTTTAAGGAAAGTGCATTTGCTTACAACAGGACAGGTCTCCATCTTTTCAAAGCCAGCCTTAAATACCCCCTCTGGGTAGCACTGCTTACCCCTCCGTGCCCAAAGCCATTTCACAGGAGAGCAGCACATCAGCTGGGCTGCAGAATGTTGATGGAAAAATCCTGCTCACTGCCTGAAGCTAGAACACCTTGGGGAGAAGGTCTGATTTTGAGGAATGCACGGTGCATCCCTGGCAGAACTCTGATCCAGAGCGTGGTTGCCAGCTCCCGTGGCTGGTACCAGGGCTGGCTGCCAGTGGCTGCCTGGGACTTGGGGCCGGCCCTGGCAGTTGCGCCCAGGGGCCAGCTGGCTGGGTGGCTGCAGGATTGCAGAGATCCTTGTCCAAACTTCCTGGCTTTTTGGCACTGAATTTCACGCTCAGCTCCCAGTGGTGCCAGAGCTAGTTAGGCTCAAGCGAACTCGTGGGTGTTTACTGCAGCTCTGGCAGTAATTGAAGATGCTTGGAATTAGGTCAGATGAAGTTTATGTGTAGAAGTTTGAGGCAAAATATTCTTTCTTGCGTGCTCCTTCTAGCATCCAAGCAGTAGCTGATTGCAGCCTATCTGCATTCCCTGCTGCTCCCAGATGCCAGTAGGACACCAAGCCTGCAGACCCAAGCCCATCCCCTCCATCCACTTACCCGCGACTCCTCTGCGAGGTGGGCGTTCATCTCCTGCTCACTCAGTGGTGACATGTCATGGATTTGCTTGTAGTATCGCTGCACTATCTTCCTGTACTCGGGGATCTCCTTGGCGTACAGCAGTTTGTTGGTCGGGGAGTCCTAGAGCGAGGGTGAGAGACCAAAATCAGGCCCCGTGTTGTTCCTGGCTGAAAACTTTATCCTGGTTGCTTGACCAAAGTGCTGACCGTCCATCAGACAGGGACCTCAGCTACAGCTAGGTACGGGGAGCAGTTTTGCCTTTGGTCCTGGCTGTCACCAGACAGGACTGCAGGGGAATGGCACCAAGGCACCAAACAGCTCATGGCCTCAAATACATCAAGGATCTGCAGACTGGCACCATGTGCCTGCGGAGCCACAGCACCATCCCGCTGCCCTTCATCCTAGCATGAGCTGAACATCTGTCAGCTCAATGCCAGAGAAGGGGGTTGGTGAGGATGTGTTTTAAGTT